AATCGGCATCGGCTTCGTCGCCTTCACCTGCCAGCGTCAACGCCCCCTTCGCCCCTTGCCACGACGTAAATTGTAACAGTGACCCAAATAAAATGCGGCGACCGAAAAGACCGGTAATGTAACAGTGAATGTGCAAGTGCTTCCACTGCTGACAGTCGCTCTGTACATGCCTTACACACATATACATATATATTTCTCTGCACATATGTACATAGTTGTACGTATTTTACGCATGCAATTCTAATGGGAAATTGTTTTTATTGTTGTCGATGTTGTTTTTGCAAAACCAGTATTAAAAGAGGCGATCAGAGCGCGTGACAGTGATGCGCCAACTGCATATCGTGTCACGACAATCGCCTGATGCGTTCGCTACCGTAATGGCAATCAATTAGTAAAGCTGCGTATGCAGCTCACGCATGTGCAGCAGCAGATTTCTCACATACCTTATTTATTATATAACTGCTTGCGATTTAATGCAAAGTGTGGCAAACAAAAATAGCCAAATATATATGGACAAATTACAGTATGTATCAATTGCGTTGTCTTGCATTGAATTAATTACTTCTATGTGTGAACGAAATCTAACTAGTTCATTTTATGCAAGCTGCATACCCGGCACTTGCGCATGCAGCTCTGTAAGCAATTGCACCAGTTTGCATCGAGATTGTTATCGATTATCGATAAGCTAAGTCCGGCTTTTGCACGCAAGAAAAGATAACAATTTTGGCGCTTTGGCAGTGAAATAATAATAAAAATAACCTTTTAAATTAGTTTAAACGTGTAAAAATTACAGTAGTGTGTACTTTATGAAGTTGCAATGTGCCAACTGCAGTTAAATATGGCTGATGGGTGTAATTATTTGTATTTGCTGCCAACAGTGCCGCGGTCAGTAGCTGCTGCCAAGTGCTTGTTATTGTATTTAATATTGAATTAATATCTGGAATCTCTCTTTCTATCTCACGCAGCCATCTCTCTGCTCGTATCGTAACAAGAAAGGTAATCACAGTGTCAACCACGAGCCGAATGCGTTCTGCGACGAACAGGTTGCGCAGCGACACCAAAAGCGGGGCTCCAGCCGTTGGTCAAGCAGCACACGCACACAAACACACACACACAGACATCACACATACACACACAGATGTAGTTATTAAAAGATATCATCGTATGGGACATGGCTGTGGTGGCATTTGCGCCAGTTTCGTTTCTGGCCTGCTCCGCTCTGCTTTATTGTTCATGCATTGTAGGTAAGTACATTATTCCGTTTTGTTTTCATTACAACTCTTATTATTATACTTATTATTATTATCTTACGCTTTTTGTGTGGCACTTTTCTGCCAGGTCATTCAAATTCGTTGGGGCCTTGGGGCATGATAAGAACTTTGCTTTGTGCCCATGTAAATGATTATTATTATTTGTATTGTTTTTGCACAATGAAACGGTTTTGGTAAAGTGAAAAATTTGTGTGGTACAAAAGGGGAAATGTGGTGGGAGGGAGAGGGGTTAGCAAACGGCTTTTCTCCGTTTTCTGAAATGACTAAGTGCAATTGATTTAGGATGTGAATCTACTTCTGCCCTAACTTTTAAGTCAATACAAATGTGGTAAAAATGAAAAATAAAATATGTTTGAACATCAAATCAAATATGCCAGATGATCGCAAATCTATAGCTAAATAAAAAGAAGAGTATTGTCCGTGTATGTGTGTTGAGTGTGTGAACGAGCAGTGAAAGTTGTCGGCCGCAATAAATGACATCATTTTGGCAAAAGCCTCATTTCCAATCGATAACCAAAGCATTGAGAATGCGATTTGACGCGACTGCACAACCAGCTAAACTCTTAACAAAAGACAAACAAAAGTTTTTTGTTAGACTCTTTAATGGATGCACACGAAAGAGTTCGTAACAGACAGACAGGCATTTAATGCCAATGCTGAATTCGTGCGAAAATAAAAGAATATGTGGTGTCATACAACGGAAGTAGTAGCTGGCAACAGTTCCCAACAAAAGCAACGGCAGCCAATCGTCAGCGAGGCGCATTTCACTTTCACCGCCAAACATGTCAAAACAAATTGAATGTTTGCTATGTGTTTCCTGTTAGACGCATCCATAACAAAAGTCTTGGACTCGCCAAACTGTGTGCACAAGTCGATAATTTGTAACTGCTGCTTTGTCAATAAAAGGAAAACATGGCCACAGAGCTGGAGCACTTGAACAATTGTTGATGAGCTTAAAAGATAAACTAAATAGCAAACAACAAACGAGTCTGAGTACAAATGAGTATACTCATAAATACTCACAAACACGCATATGAGTCTATAAGTACGAATGAGTACTCACAGACTGACACACTCTCATTTAAGCTATGCACTAATAGTTACGCGCTACTCTCCAACGTAGGAAGTGCAACTTAATTGCCATCATATGATATTTATGAGTACGGTTTGTTTGTGTGTGTCTCTCTCTCTTGGGTGAAATGCTCGCACTCGGGCACTTGATGTTGATGATGTGTCACAGTTTTTAATGCGATTGAGTTTAAGTTTTATGATGTGGTAAACGTCTGTGGGAAAATTTGTGCACCCCGCTGCCCAAACAAAGTGTTGAAAGAAAGTCAAAAATGTCGCTTTCACATTAATTGCAAGCAAGGGAAATATGAAATGAAATGAAACAACGTTGCGTATGCGCAATTTGCATAAATTGATAACAAATAAAAATTACCGCTCAAGCGCCTGGTCAAGAGCCTCTTTTAAACAATTAGCCTAGTACGTCTAAAAGCCAAACAAAAGAGTCTTATGAATTGCTTTTTGAACATAATAATATGCCAGGAGAGAGAGGCAGAGAGAGAGGGAGACGCTTATGTGGAGCATTTGACCGCACAGCGGTAAAACGTGATCTCGAAATTATATCGATGCCAAAGCGACACGGAAAATTGAACGACGACCAGCTGAGCCGAACTAAACAACTGACTGACTGACTGCTGTTGTTGCCGCCGCTGCTGCTGCTGCTGCCAGCGGCTGCAAGTTGTGCTGTCTTCAGACTGCAGTCTGCAAGTCTTCCAAGTGTTCAACTCTGCAGCTTCCTGCCCCTAGGCTAGCTGAGTGAAGTGAGCCGCAAATTACCGCAAACTCAACGTCAACTGCAGGCCGACAAGTGCACATACGCTAACTGGCACACGCGGCGATCAGAACCTGTATAAGATTTGCTATTGTTGTTGTTGTTGTTGCTGTTGTTGTTGTTGTTGTTGTGGCTACTGGCTAAGACATTTTCATTTCGCACGCGCAATCAGCTCGGACAGCTCGGCCGCGGGTTTTCCTTTGGTGCACAAATAAAAATTGAATAGAAATTGAAAATTGTTTTATGCTTGTAACTTTGCTGCAAGAGTTACACACACACATCTGTTGGTAATGATATATTGTGTGCATGATTGGCATTTGCTGTCTCTGACCTGACGCAGCAAAGTTGTCCGCAAAACGGAAGCACTGCGTTTTCTTTTCTACCTGAGCCAACCTACAAAAGTGTTTGTTCAATGATTTGATGATTTGATTATGTGTGTGTGTGTGTGTGTGTGTTTGGCAAGAAGTTTTCACAGCGTTTGCTGCACAAACAAACTGCAACTGCTGTTAAACTCTGCCATGGGGCAACTTGAGCTTGGAGTTTAATAACCCGAGCATTTTTTCTATATACATTTCTATTTATATGTATATCTTTTTTTGTTCTAATTGAAATTTAACTATACATTTTAATTTATGGTTAAGTGTTCTGAATTCGTTGTGAAATTTCGCATTTTCATAAATTATCTATCTCCACATTTTTACTTCGCGATAATAAAGCCTTCTAATAACGGAATATATGGGGGAATGCTTAGAAGAAACTTGTTTAAATATTATATATTATATCAAGAAACTGTTCGAATTTGGTACCCTTTGATATATCTTAACAACCCATAGATGATTTTAAGGCTTAACTGACAAGTTGCTGCTTGACTCAGGAAGTCGTTCGCTACATTAAAATAATTTTAATATGCTCTTTAAGCTACAGTTCGCTGTGCGACCAATCGATTGGTAATTAAACGTGCCACATAAATAGTAAGCGCGCAAATGAATTATTTGCTTTTATTTTGACACTCGTACAGCTTTTGTTCAAGTTTGCCGCTTAAGTCTTTCGTTTGTTGATGTCGCTTTGAACTAATTCAGCACACATAAAACCTCAAGCTCAACTTTGAGGCAAACTCAATAGCTGTGCCAGTGCCTTCGATTCCAGCTAATAGCTTGACACATTAGAAATTTGTTTCACTTTTTAAATCGGCAACAATTAACACGAAAGCAGCTTGCAGAAACGTTAAAAACTGTCATAAGAAAGTGTGTGCAGGTATTTGTGCGTATGTGTGTGTGTGTGTGTGACAGACAGATGAGCCTCATGTGCTCATCCTCAGCGCTTGTTTGAATAGCTAAAAATGGCAAATATTGTTGTGCGTGCATGTGTGTGTGTGTGTGTGTGCCCGTAATGTAGCATAAAATGAACCAAATAATTGTCAAGTGCGTTGCGCTTCTGCTTGTGGTGTGTATGTGTGTGTGTGTTTGTATGGAAAGTCATTTTCTGTGCCAAAGTTTTTCATGTGGAATTGTTATTGACACAAAGGCACAGTTTATGTTGGCTCTTATTTGTTTTCTAGCACTTTTTGCGCTTTTCGTTTTATTTTTTTTTGGCCATTGTCAAAGACCAGCAGCAGAGGCTTTCACTCGCAGTGGCAGCAAAGTGTCGAAGTGACACGCTTCTTCGATTTGTCTCAATGCGAATGGGCCGCAAACATGAGCTAGCAATTTGCCAAATTGATTTTCATTCAATTGTTCGGTTTATAATTCTTGCACAGTTTTCTATTAACAGCAGCTTTCTATGCAATTGTACTAAATATACTATATATGGATATATATATACATATATATATATATATATATATATATATATATATATATATATGTATAGCTGTTGAATGGTCTGTCACTTACCGCCGTTCGTTTCAATTGACGATCTAAATCCACTTGTTGTCTGCACAAATAATGCGCCTATTATTATTAATGTTGTTAAAGCGTTGGAAAGTAGTTGCCGTTTTATTGTTGTTCTTGTTGTTGTTGTCGTTTTGGCTGCTGCTATTGGTGTTGTTCTTGTTGTCGCGTTTGTGCGCGACGCTAACGCTGACGCCGGCATAACCCACTTAAACATGTTTGCGCTGGTCTACGGCGGTCGTCGGTCGTTGGTCGTCGGTCGTTGATCGTCACTGGACACTATTCCGGCTAGACGATTCGTCTCGGCTGCAATTTCCACTTAGTTGAGGGTTTAAATGTGGGGACAGTGCGAAAAACAATTACCAACTGTTGATGTTGTAATTGGAAACTGAGACGCGAGTCGCGCGCGCGCACGCCACACCACAAAATGTACCGCTACAGGCAAAACAAAAGACTTAGGCAACGAACGCGTTTCATGCACGACTCTTGAAGCTCTTTTTTGTTTTCTTATTCAAATTGAATCGAAAGAATTCTCTGCTCAACAACAAATAAACCACACTATATTATTTAATGCTTAGCATTCGTTTTAGACGGCGCACTGTTTTTTCGATATTTGATGTTAAATTATTATTTATTGGCGAATTTAATATAGTTCAGCACTTCAAGAGTTGCTACTTGACCATGTCAAGCGCCATGCGTCCGGTCAACTGAACGTTCCGCGTGTGTCTGATTGTCAGCGTTGCCCGTTTGCCAGCGCTGGCCGAGCAGATAACGGACCTTTACCACTTTTGTGTGGCAGAACTTTCACTTTAGCGCGCGAGAGCAATGCCACGAGCGAGCGACAGAGAGCGAAGGAGAGAGAAAGAGCGAGCGAATTTTAGAGAACTGTTGAGTGAGAGAGTGCACGCTTGTACGTGCGAGTATTTGTATGAGGCGCGAGCCGCTTAAATGGTAAACATTTCTATCTATTCGGCATCTACTTGGCTATATTACTGTTAACATCTTGTGCTTTCTCTGTGTGTGTGTGTCTGCTGTGTGTGCGCTCCCAACGTCCGCACGCGTGCGCGTTTCAAACTCAACTGAAACGGTTTACAGCCCCGACTTGCGGTTAAGAGCTGCACAGCGTCTGCCAGTTAACAGACATGTAACTTAACAGTCTGTTAAGCGCATGTTATGCGGCCGCACATAATTGCAATTTGACAGCGTTGACAGCAATAGATTTTTCCAGGCCCAGCTTTCGCCTACTGGGCACACGACTTACGTGCCGCGATATTTGCATTCGATATTCAGCAAGGTTATCGGCCCGCTGCTGTAGATCCGTTCGCAGCCAATAACAAAAGACTGCAAGACACAAACTTGGCAATTAGTGCACTCAAAATTGCTAACAAGCGCAGCAATAACTGTCATCTGCGCACGTATGTATGTGTGTGTGTGTGTGTGTGTGTGTGCATTTGTGGGCCTCTAACCTGTCGTTTGGCATTTCCTTGACCCAAATTTCACTGACTTTAGTTTGTCAACGTCTTTGGACACGCCGCTGCAGCCGCCGCCGCTGCAATTGCCGGGGCTTGGCCTAGCAAAAAAAACATTAGCATAGTCGGAGTTCCAGCTCGAGCCGCGCTGAGCCGGTGCCAGGGCCGGGCACTTGGCTGGTCAAGCGTGCAGCTCCACCAACACGATCTTTGTGTAGAATTTCACTTTCGTTATTGTCGTTGTTGCTGCTGCTTTTGTTGTAGTTGTTGTTTTGTGATTGTTTTCTTTTCATGTTTGGCTTTTTGGTTGGCTCTTGCGGTCAGCTCAGCCAGCGGCCGCAGCATAGCCATTGAAATGGAAAACGTTGCGGCTTATGGCTTGCCATTTGGTTATGCCGGGCACGTGGGTGGCGCATAGCCGTTTATCTTAATGGCCAGAACCACAGCTCGGTGTACTTTCACACCTTCTCGTTGTTGGCAAATTTTGCGTTCCCAGGCGCATCATTAGCCTCTGCTCGGCTGAGATATTACGACATTCGACCAACGTAAATGACTCGATTATAATTTAAATGATTTTAGCCAAGGTAAATTAAAACACAGACAACTTCCAAACGAATCGCTTTCACCTGGACAAAAGCCCAGAAGGTGCCAAAATACAAAAACTAAAAACACAAAACCCGGTCTATAACGAATGAGCCACAATTTAGTCAAAAATAAAGCGAATGATTAAGTTAGTTGCAGCGATTCTGCGCTCGGCTTTGTAGTAGCCGCTAGCTGCGGGATTATATAATCGAAAGCAGATGGGTTGCTCGATAGACAACACAGGAAATAAATAAATGTCATTTGATAAGCGATTGAAAAGACATTTGAATCAATGAATGTGCCACAAATTTGATTTAAAACAAATCCAAATGCATACATTCAGGTATTTGAGATTTCATTAAGCTGAAATCCCCCACCCACCCCCTCTTTGTTAGTGAATGCAGTTTGTTCAAATAAAAAATGGGAATTTGCTGTTACAAATGTAATATATTTAGATTTATAAGCTGAGCTTTTAAACAACAAAGGTTGTTTATTAACAAAGGTAGAAAATATACAATGCAAGGAAAGAGTGAAATATCTATAACGTTAATTTTCTCAATATTGCCTTCATTCATACATATATTGAATTAAATCCGATATTATTATAATATGTTCAAGTATAATTAAGATCTTTTACATCGGACGGACCGACGGACAGACAGCGGAACATGCCTAGATCGACTCGGATATTGATGCTGCTTAAGAATAGATATAGTTTAGGGAGTCGTAGGTACTATCTTCTTCCGTCTGCATACATTTACACAAAAACAATATGCCATCTTTACCAATTTTCAATGGGTTCAGGGTAAAAACTTTTCTCAAAATTAGTCACAGACCTATTGATAAATTCTTATGGTTAAATAAGTTGTGCTCCAACTAAATGTACTTATACTATATTTGTCTAAAATTAATAAAACTCCTTCAAACTTCCCAGTTTTTATAGTAATTATATTTATACAATATTATATTATAGAAATTATAATATATTTCTATATTTAACTAATTTCCAAGCTCTTAATTAACAACAGTTTACATGGTCTGGTCGATCGATTATCGTTTCTCAACATTAATAAACACATTAAGTGGCATTTTTCATGCTTTCTTCTGCTTAATTCTCGTTTATTTGGTTTTAAAAATAGACAATGGAAAATTCCAGCGCTTAAATCATTTTTTTATTTTTGGCATCTTCAGTTCACATATCACTCGAGCTGCTGATGATCCATCATCGCGATGAAATTTCGTTTTTTTTATTATTTGTGATTTATTTTATTTTTCTTTGCACACTTTTTTGACGAACGCTGTGCAAATATTTTGCAGCGGGCAGCTACTACACGATAGATCGCTAATAACAACGGCATAATTAGTGACAAGTGTGTGAATTTGAATTTCTCAAATAATGCCAATCAACGCCAGCTAGCCGCGTGAAAGGCGATGCCGTCGGAGGCGTGGCATTGTCAAAAGCTACATTCTGTGGGCGTTAAGACAATCAAAATTGTAGGCAAAAAACAAGCCAAAAAAAAAAAAAAAGCAAGAAGCCAATATCTTTTTGACATGTGAATTTTGTTGCGAATCTGCAGGTGTAAAACGTGAGATACAAGATATAAGGTCTCTGGCCAGGGGCAAATCGTAACATTTGTTAACAGCCAAAATATAAAAAATCGCCTGCCGTATGCTCAGCAGTTTTTTGTATGCTACTTTTATTTTAACTGTGGGTATTCCTTGTTTCTTGTCTGGTTTTGCTGTTGATTAGGTCTGTCAAAATTTGTTTTCATCGCCGCCGCCGTTGAAAACGAAAGTTCAAACGGGTTGAATGAGTGTGTCTGAAAAATATTTGGAATCGTTGGCAATGCTGAAATCTAATTAATCACTTTGGAGCTGACGACGCCCTTGTGATTAATTGCCAGCTAAATTAAGTTAACATATTTTGCCAACCAATTTTATGATCTGACAGTCAAATCATCATCATTATCCGACTTTGAACTCCACTTTCTACATTATATCCAGCAAGTAGCTTAACAGCCAACCGAGTTCAACACACTAACCCCCGGCCGACAGATTCAATGGAATTCGATTCCCAGTCAGCAGGTTCGTAGCTACCGTAGCTACTAAGAGATATGCAACAATACAATACATAAAACAACAATAATTTCACTTTTAGCATCTGGCAGTTATGTTTATTTTCAACACAAACGAAAACTAAATCAACAAAATACTATAAGTAAAATATATTTAAAGAAACACGACGGATTCAATACTCTTTAGCTTGATTTAAATTTAACAAAATTTGCTCATGTTTGTTGAATATTTATGTAGTATATATTATATATTTTTGTATATATATATATATATGTTACTATTAATCATAATAGTTTTTGATAAATGTTTATTTATTTGTTACCTATTACATATTCTTATTAAATATCAAGCTGTCTCGCATAGGTTTTCACTTCTTTAAGATTGGTTGAATTTGATATGTAGAGGTCAATTTTCTGTTCCCAAAGCAGTTCTTAACAAATGACAGTCAGATTGAAAAGTCAGGTTCGCGGTTCGAATCTTTGACTTTTGGAATAAGTGTTGAAGTCTTATTCTCAAGCCGGGGCTCTTCAAAAGTTGGGATGTAACTATATTCGTGATGATAATAATAACATTAGTATGAATAATAATAGTAATTCTTTAGAAACAATAATAATATTTTTAATTAAATTTTATTTGCAAATTCTTTAGTTGTCTGTGGCAAACATCATGTGAAAGTTGTGATAGCTTAAGCAAGGGCATAACAAGAAAAGAAACTACAGCAACGGCGCATTAGAAATGAAAGTGAGCAGCAACAAGTACAAATACCACGCACACACGCACACACGCACACACACTATCACTATCATAGTTAACTAACTAATGTATGACACGTTAACAAAATGCAAACATAACGAGCTTCGAATTGAGCAGCGGCCACCGTCCGCCCCGGTGGCTGTTAGAAAAAGCCGCAAACAACAAATCGCCGACAATTTCGGTTAGCACGTGTCAATGGCCCGGAAAGGGTCCGTCTCCGGCGGCGGCTGCGGCTGCGGCTACGGTTGGAGCCAACGCTAATCCCCTTGCCTCTGACCGCGGGCAACACATATGATTTAATTTGCTTTGCAGCGCACTTAAAATTAATTACGCAAAT